TTTTCAGCATTAATACTTACAATTTCGTCATTGCACGAAGGTTTACTTAAACTGGACTCTGTACCACTGTCCATTTTATTTTGCAATGTCTTACTTTCATCTGCGTTATTTTCATTAATAATCTGTAAGAAATTTGACACATTAATATGTACATAAACTGTGTAATATTTTATCATTTCAATACTAACTTGATATCTTTTACGAAGGAAGAGTTTGCTTATAGTCACCAGTAATGATCATAAATTGAAACGGGAGTTTATAGTCAACCCCACTGGTGTTGGTTACTTTATTAGTTTAATACAACATTTCGACCATATTTTTTGGGTCCTTATCAAGTAGTACTAACAATAAGTGTGTTATCGTCGTCAAAAGAGAGAGTCGAGTTATGAAGTACGTATACATGTGAGCACTGCGGCTGCTGGGTTTGAACTAGTTCCGTTTCAATTTTGGATATCTTTTATTCCCAGCATTAATACTTACAGCTTCTTTACTGCACGAAGGTTCATTGGATTGTGTGCCACCATCCATTTCATTTCTTTTCTTTAGAAAATAACCAAATATTGTAGGCACAGCATTTGGTTTTAATTTGACCTTGTGGTCAGCTCTTTGTTCCCACATTTCTGGTTCGAAATGTATCTTTAATAAAAACTATATCAATTATTTCATTCCATCTTGATTGTTATAAAATAATAAAACATAGAAAATTACCTCACAAAGATATGAGTTTTTTGTTGGCAACCAATTTTCACAACCCATACTTTTTATCCAGACAGCTTGACGTACCGGATCTCTGGGGAATACCCTCATGACGTATTCCTTTGTCGAGCTGTTGTTACAAAATGGTGCTGCACATCCACCCATTTTTGCAATAAACAGCAAACTGTTATCAAACTATTAAACTTCGTGCGATAGATGTGCGGTTATATTTTAGGTTATGTCTCGATCTGAGGGCAGCTTAAAGAGAGAGTGAGATATTCGTACTGCCCTCTCTCTCGTTGGATTTGACTAAACATGGCGGACCATTCTGTTGGCCAGACTCTGATTAGAGGGTCTCTAGGGTAAGCTATTTGATATTGTATCGACTGTTATATTATTGTTTGCGGATTTGTTTTCGATTCTTGGTTCGACGTGACCGTGTCGGCTCTGTGCCGGGTGCCATTAATGAGATAAAGACCTAACACATATCTTTGAATCACGAGATCTTACATGACAAAAATATGGCAGTACCATTACCCTAACAGCACAAGGTGACGGAAAGTCGACTTTCAGTCGACTTTTAGTAGACTCTTAAAACTGAGGGAAAGTTGACTTAAAGTCATCTTTTATAAGTCGACTAAAAGTCGACTTATAAAAGTCGACTTTGTCGGCGACATGTCAACGCGCGCGCGCGTTCATCTTGAGTCACAGAAGCCGCGGGTTGTCTCTCTCCGGTGGGTCGCGTTCCGTGATCGAGCCTCCCTCGCACCGACGATAGGCGGAAGTGCGACTGTAGAATGTAGGTGTAGACTCGGAAGCACGTAGATGGATCGCTCTCGTATCCCCCGGGAGGCTGATAATTTATTAAAACTCTTTTTCATTTTAGAAAATGAAGCTCTAACCTTAATCTTAAAAAGACCTACTATCACGTCCATGTCGTTCATCCTGGGTAGCGCTACTACAGGAAGGGATTGAATTTTTTAAGTGCATCATTTTTTATAAGAAATTTTTTGCTCAACAAAAAAGGTCCTGTACAATTTTTCCGCAAACTGCTGCGTTTTCGATACGGAGGCGATGATATGAAAAAAGAAAGAGTAATTCCGTGTTCTTTTTTCATATCAACGTCTCCGTATCGAAAACGGTGCACTTTACGACAAAATTGTACTGGACCTTTTTCGTAGAGCATAAAATTTCCTATAAAAAAGTCCGGGAGAGCCCTACTCTAATTGTAAGGTTAATAGCTTAGGCGTTAGCGAAGCTCGAACAAGTGCCTTGTACTACGTGTGGCACTTGTACGGGCGGGCCGCGCGGCGCGGCGCGGTGCTGCACGCTTTCACGAAAGTTGCGATATCTAAGAACCTATTAGAGTCTCCATTAATTTTATTTTTTTAAAGAAAGGTTACACTATAAGGAATATTTTATTATCTTACAAAATTTCTGACAAATTGGTCCCGTCCGAATAAAAACGATTCCAAAAAATATTTTTACTTTTTTGGTCAAAATTAAAAAATTTGTTTTCAATAATGCAATAGTCTAAAAAGGCATGATTTCAAGTATAACATATTTAAATTTTATTAAAATCCGATGAATAGTTTTGTAAATATTAATACTTAAAGAAATACTTAGTAAAAAATTCAACATGGCGTAATTTTTACAATTTTCAAAATTTTCAAAAAACCTTTGATCTTTTAATTTCTCTTATCCAATATTATAATTTCACCAATTTGCAAATCAATCCAGAAACCACGTCCAAATCGTGATATTTCTGACGTATTCTTACCCAACTTCTTCAAGTCAGGGCAAAGTATGTCTATTCGTTTTCATTTTATATGAGGATCTAGAGGCGGGAAGCATGGTGACATATATCTTGAAAAAAATGTCATATCAATGTATTAAGATACTCTGTCATAGACGAGGTTAGGACATCTGTCATGCAAACACTTGGCAGTATAGAGAAATGTAATATTAGATTATCGCTATACTTTCTACGCAGCTTTTGCATTTCAGTGTTTCACGTACTGACATGGTGTCTTGCAATAATTAGCAACTCTATTTTACCGCACCGGCATAATTGCTGACCCTATCCGTGTGAGGCGCACGCATATAAACACCGCTTACACAAAGCGAACGACCAATCCAAAAGTCGCGCCGCGGTCGTCCGACGATCGGATTAGTCACCCGCTTGTTGTGTGTGTGCGTCTCACACAAATAGGGGCGGCATTTATGCCGATACGGGTAAACTTTTCGTATGTAAGATCTTATGATGCCAAGATATGTGACAGGTATTACGTGCAGAAGTACACATTACAATTAATCGCTCACAGAGAGCCTCGCACGTGGAATGGGTATGGATATAAATAATTTTAAAGTTTATTCAATATTGCACTTCCCTATATCGCCAAGCGCTTACACAACAGATAGCACCCAGACAGCACACAAACGTTTTAAAGACGTATTTGTTGCGACGTAAATCTAGTGGGCCCACTACAGATCCTTGCCGAGCGAGGCTTCTGGAAAAAACCAAGCGCCCTTCGGACCTTTGGTCGAGCGCTCTAATCTTCCGATAAGTAACGAATAAAGGGATATGCCTAAGTCACCAGTGACGCATCCTCTGATAAGAATCGAGTCATCAACCCGAGACAAAGGCGATTCGGATGACGTTGTTCTTTGACGATCGAAGCTTCGATCGTCAAGGAACAAAGAACGGCGGATATACTATATGTATAGGGCCAACGGTCACGGCAGGACAGTTCTAAGTCGTCTCTCGTAGAGCAAAGATCGAGCCCTTTTCCGAGTTCTCCGTAAGATATATCGAGGCCGAGTCCTCGCGTTCGTGCATACCAGAGACCGAGCTCTCTGGTAAGATA